GAGATCCAGGTTCGATCCTGGCTGAGGTGATATTTTTTCGTCAAAAATAATTACGAGTTTTCTACGACTGGTTCGTGGTCGGGCCCCGCCGTGACGCACACCCTCCCTTCTTATTCGGGGGCGTCGAGCCATGCTTGATGCAATCTCTCCTGTCGTGCTCCAGGAGGATTATTTGTATATTTGCCAATGGCGTTGGAGGGTGTCGCCGCTGCAGTCCGACCTGCATCCATCGAGTGAGAGACCAACATCGCTCTGGAGTACCGGTCGTGGGGATTCGAAAGAATACATGTATATATGTATATTGTAATATATATATATATATATATGTATCATTGTATTGTTGACGTGTTATTCTAAACACGTTATTTGCGATAAATATCATCACATGCCTCGGTAGTCGAAAGGATAAGATGCCTGCCCGGTAAGCAGGAGATCCAGGTTCGATTCCTGGCTGAGGTGGTATTTTTTCGCAAAAATAATTACGAGTTTTCACGACTGGTTCGTGGTCGGGCCCCGCCGTGACGCACACCCTCCCTTCTTATTTGGGTTCTTAATTGGGTTAAACCGCCACTCTCGTGTAGCGTGACATTTGATTGCCATTTTAGAGATCTATGCTCTAGCTATGCCATCGTTCCACTATTCCATTCGACTGTGGATGATAAGAGGTAGTTCTTCTAGCTCCGATTAGTTGCGTGACAGTTTCGAAAACTATCGACTCGAACTGTGAACGGTCGATCGTTATAATTTCCGGTGCTCTATATCTGGCAATCCACATTGTAACGAAATTAATCGCTATTATGTCTGCTGTTGCTTCAGTGATTGGTATTGTTTCCGGCCATCATGTAGCCCTGTCAATTGTAAGGCAATACCGAAATCCTTTAGATGGTGGTAAGGGTCCGATTATATCCAAGTGTATGTGATGGAATCAGTTGTCCGATACTTGAATGTGTTGTGGTCTAAGATGATTGTGCCTATTAATTTTCGCTTGTTGACATGTTAAGCATGTTTCGATCTATCTGGTGACGTCATTAACGTTGGGCCACACAAGTTGAGTGATGACTTTTCGCGTTGCCTTGACTCCAGTGTGTTAAATTATATACCGTATCAAATATCTTCCGTCGTAATTTCGATGGCACGTAAATTTTAACATCGTTAGTCGTATCGCAGTACACTATGGTGTCAGAATTAGACGGAATAGTTTGAGAGTGAGTGCTGACTAACCTTGCAGAAGTGCTTGTAATTCCGCGTCATCTCGTTATGCTCGTGTTAGTTCCTCCGTGCTTACAATTACAAGTATCTCTATAGCTTCTAATCTCGAGAAAGTCTGTATCCGCGATGATGTTATCTTGTTCCGCAACGTACTTGATTTCCTTGATAAATTGACTCAAATATTCTAATTGCCATACCTCCGCGATGCTTTCTCGGACCTTTGACAGAAGGCGTAAGTCAGTGACTTTTGATTTGTCAATATGGTTAATTTTCATTCTTCTATTAGCTATCTGAAATGTTTGGCCTCGTACATAGCCAACTCTAGGTCGTACGCACTAAGTTTGTGCTTGACTGAGTTTTTTTAGAAAAAAATGCCAACGATGGCGGTGGCTGTGGCTCACCTGTTCTAGGGCTGTTCCGATTGCCTGTGCCGAAGCGTGCTGAGTATTAGTGAATGCGTTTTCCGCTGGATGCATCAACAATGTTGCGTTTGCGAGCTGGTTTTTACATTTTTTAAAGACTTGTTCTGCGGCATTGTTCCATTGGATCAGTCTTTTATCTGTCTTCTTGTTTTCGGTTGTCAAGCTGTATAGTGGTGCTTGTGTCTCTGCTGCTGAGGGCAAACAACGTTTATAATAATTAATCATGCCTAAAAATCGGCGCAGCTGCTCAATTGTCTGTGGTTTTTTTGTAGTGTAGTATCGTGTCGACTCTCTCCTGTAAGGTTTAGTACCTTCCTTCGATATTGCACATCCTAAATATTTAACTTCCTTTTAAAAGAAACACTTATCTACGTTAATTGAGAGATCATAGTGCTTTAGTCTGTCAAATACCTGTCTCACATGTTTCTCATGCTCGTCGATGGACGTTGATGCAATCAAGATATCGTCTAGCAAAAGTAAAATTCCAATCTTCGGAGCACCGTGTCCATAAACCTTTGGAAAGTTTGGACTGCGTTACGCAGTTCAAAGGCATCACGTTGAACTCGTACAGCCAGAATGGCGTGATCAACGCCGTCTTTTCTTTGTCTTGCTCCGCTACGGGTATCTGATGGTAAGCTTTGGTAAGATCCAAAAATGCTAAGATGATACATCCTAGTAGTCGCTGCGAAAAATCCTGGATGATCGGATACTTATCCGGTATAGTGACTTTGTTCAATTGCCTGTAATCATCACAAATTCTCCATTGTCCGGAAAGCTTCCTCACCATATGCATTGCACTCGCCCAGTATCCCAGGTCGACAGGTATCTGCTTCGATGTATCTGTTAAATTCTCGTTGAGTAAACTTTGATCTTCCGGGAGAGCCGTCTAGGATGGTCTGAAACTGGTTCTTTCGTCACAATTACGTGTTCCACGGAATGTTTTGGCGTTTTATTAGCGTGTGATGTCAATGTATTCCCTGAGAAGCTATTGACAAGGATTTGAATTTATTTAAGATAGATATATATTGGACGGAATTGTGGTTTATCTTTCCTGTCGATTGGAGGTTGATTATGCCATCCATGAGTCTGCGACTTCTCAAAGCCACTAGGAGATGATATTGATGCAAGAAATCGACCTCCAGAATAAGGCATTCCACGTCAGTGACGAGGAAACGACAGGTAAGACTACGTCGGAGTTCCAAATCAAGTTTGAGAGTGCGCTCTCCATGTGTCTTGATTCTCGAGCCATTAGCAGCATAAAGTATTAGCGTAGTGATTGCTTCTGTACGTTTTCAACTCCTGCGTTTCACCGAAGGAATAATAATACATATTAATAATATGTGCCTTCAATGCTTCGTATCGTTGTATAGCTGGTGGGTTCGTTAGTATCGGAAACAAACGGTATCATCGATCTAGGTTCGTAAGGACGTACTTGAACTTAGTCTCATCTCCGATAATTCTGTGCAATGCGAATGTGGCTTCGACCATATCGAACCAATAGGTCGGCATCTCTTTCCAAAACGGCTGTAGCAGCTTAACTAATTTAATTGCCATTAGCACAGTCCGCTGGAGTGGCCATCATGCTGTCTTGAGGATCCGACACCGGTGATTGGTCGACAAATTCCGTACTTTCTTTTCGGGAATTGTCAGTTGCCCAGAAGTTTGCGCCTGTATTTCGTGTATCGGAGAACGCTCGACCGGCATTTGCTGTGTACCGGCCACGTGGCGGTCCATCTTTAATTTTCCGCGCTGTAATCGTAGACTTAATCTTCCGATCATGTCAGGGTCGGACCAGTTGTAGGAGCGTGCGAGTTTATATGAACAGCGAACCAAGTCTCTTAGATAACTTTAACAATTTATTAACCAACAAATAATTATGCACAAGTTTCTTTGGAGACGACTAGACTCAGCCACGGAGATAGTATGAGGTAGGTAGGTAGGTAGTCTCTCTTTTTTGCAGATTGACCAACTTTGTTCCGAGTCGCCCTCTGTTATTCTAGTTTTTTCTAGTTTCTAATTTCAGTTTTTTTTCTCGAGCAGTCGCCACAGCGTCTCATCCCATTTACTCAAGACCCGTCGTCCAATCTCTTTTCCGAGACACGAGAGTCTTTCCGTTGGAGTTAACTCAGCCAGCCTCAATGGAAAGCCCGCTGGACTTAAACCATCATAAAGGAAGAACCGGCGCGCGAAAGGCGTTGCGAGAAACGTTTCGCGCAGTTGAAGGAACAAGTACCCTAACTGCCAGTGCTTCGTCCGCTTGCGGTGGACACTGAGAGAAGCAAAAAATAATCTCAAAAGATGATCACGGAACGGAGTATTAAACCTGATCATAACTGACTAGGAATTAAGGAGAATATCTACGGCATAAAAGAAGGACTAATTAGCGAAATAAAATACAGACCAACCAATCAGGATACATCGACATACTTTCAAACATCACATATTTTCTAATCACTCTCTGTAAATACACACTCAACTTTATTTCAAACACACACATTCTATTTCAAGACACATAAAGTCATACACACAGTCAACTCAAAAGTGGCTAAGACTCCGTATATATTGTAAATATTAAAGGCATAAAAATAAATAAATTTTAGATGTATTCTGTTGTATTCGACCGTTAACCTTACATCCACACTCCAATCACACACGTACTCACACTTGCGAACATTACGCTATCATACTTAATTATATATAAACACATAACTTCATATTCACACTTCTTTTTTATAGATCTTTTTTATAGATATATAATAAAATAATACTTTAAATCTTTAAGCAGATATGCATGTTGTATCGTTACATCACAATGTTTATATTTTGCAGAATATATGTTTTTTTTATATATTGTTTTTTATATATTTTATATATTTTTTATAATATTGTCAAATCGAATTATTATCAACTTTTTGCTTTTTCAGTTTTGTTTTCTTTATCATATGAATATTGTATAAGCATATTTTCATGTTTGGATGTATGTACATAGTAAATTTTATAAATTACATTGCACCTTTTTACACCTTATTTCATCACCTAATAGTATAATACTGTTACACCTATACTATTTTTTATATTATGTCCGTACAGTATTACAAAGCAGATATTACTAAACATATTGTTGTGGCCGAGCGATGGTCCACTCGTTTTTGGTCCCCGTAATGTATGAGTAATGTCCGAGTAATGTTGAGAAGATCATTCCTTGCCAACGCGCCGTTGTTTATGACTATTGATTTATTGATTGAAGAGATTCGACTGAGATTCGACAGATTCGTGAGAGACGGTTTTTGAGAGGTGACGCGCAAGCGGATTGCAAGCGCGAAATTGTATCACGAATAGTATAATTAATTGTGATCATTAAAGTTTCTTCTTTATAAACGGCCTCTATTTATTTACGCGTGTCGTGGAAGCGCGACAATATCATACCAACTGTATTAAGAAAAATATTTAGCAAAATTATTTAGAAAAAATCGAAGAAATGACAATCTTAAATGTAATCTTAATGTAAATGATATTTAGACATCTTAAGTTGGCGGATCAAAGTAAGCAGAACGAATTCTAACTAATATTTTTATTTGTTGCTTAATTGTTATCAAAGAAAAAAATTGTTGCTCTGTAATTTCTTTTTTAAATGATATTCCGCTAAAGGAAGATTAAGTTAACAGAACGACATACACGTAATAATAAATATTTAATAATATTAGAAATATTGTAATAAAAATAGCAGAAGAATTTGTTGCTTATTTGTTGCTCTCGAGATATTAATGTTTTGAACTTCTTGCTCGCGAAATAAGTATAAACAATAGAGAGAAACCACTCAACGTGCAGATAGTCACAAGAGTAAAGTATTGCCTTAATTTGTCTATGTTTTAACAGTTTCTCTGAAATTTTCTCCCAAATTGCAGCAGTTTTTGACACTATTGTATTGTCTTTCAATGTGTCACTTTTATATTTTAAAAGTGTTTTTGTAATTATGTCATTACAAACATTTCTTTTTCTTTCTCTTTGCATCTTGAATGAATATAATTATAAACCTTTTGTTAAATATCATACAGTTAACTTCACTGACTCATCGAAACAGATGCAGTTGAATTTAAATTCTACTACTTTTTCAACTGATCACACGAGAAACTACACATAACAAAGGAAGAACACTACTATGTCGCGATCGTTGCTCCATTTCAACCGATTTATACCGAATATTGTTATTCGTTTTGTCAAGCACATGCACAAGTGAAAATTTCAAAGGAACTGTTAGAACATAGCCAAATTAAGGCATCTCTATATTGACTTGTTACTTGCAACAGATATAATTTGCGTGCAATATTAGGGATTAAGTCGCCTCAATTAGATTTGTGAATCAAAATGAAAGTGAAATTGAATCTATTGAATCTTTTATTAACAGAACTATTTGAAATATTACTTATTGATATTTCAATAAGTAATATTTCAAATAGTTCTGTTAATATAAACAGGAACAAAAAGGAAAATTATTTGTGATATCATTAACCTTAAGAGAATACGAATCGTTATTAAACAAAAGTTTACGGGAAGCGAACCTGTGTTAGGTTTAAAAGCAGAAAATAGAAAGATATAATAGAACAAATTTGGAATCAGACACGGATTCAATGTGGAGTCAACTTTAAAGGACATTATTTGATATAGAATGCTGATTACGGCAATATTGATGATAGGTATATTATTATATAAGATTTGATATATCCCCTGGATTCAGATAGTTAATTAAGCACAATATTTTATACAATTGATAAGATGATATATAATTTTTCTATTTAATTTGATTTGTTTCCTGTACATAACATATGCATCTCTATTAAGTTAATACGCACGCGTATTTTTATTGATATGAAAAATTATTATAACAAAGAAGAAAAATGTATACGTATATTTTCCATTAATGAATCGTGATGTAAATCGGTTAAATAAGTAATAGTAATAGAAATATTCTTTCGAAAAATTTTTCTATTAGCTTCTTTTTTGAACGATATAAAGTATTTTTTGATGATGTTTTAAGAAAATGTCACTGTGGATCAGTATGTGTATTCTGAGACATTTTACGAAGATAATTACGTAAGAATAGAATGTATATTAACAGCTGGAAATTACAACGATGTGGAAAACGGAATTTAAGAAGTGTTCATCGAAAGAAAGTTGGAAAAATCTTATGTAAAAAAAGTGTGGAAATGTTTAAAGCTGAAGAAGCAAAACGCCTAATGTCTCCAGGAGGACCTGATGCTTTCATGTTTTATAAAGCAAATGTTTTGCATAAAGCAAAACACGAAAAAATAGCATCGAACTATCTCGACAAAGATCCAGCGATAATTCTCAAAATTACAGTTTTTGAAAGAAATGTTATATATAACATAGAATAAAATCCGTTTTATATAATTTATTTTACATCAAATTCAAGTGTATAAACAATTATTAAAATTAGAACACATTAGTTTGTATATTGACACAAGTGATATTAGAGTTCCAAAATTAAAGAGGTCCGATGGAACGATGGAATGGTTATCGCATTATATTTTTTTATAATATATCATGCAGTTATTAATTCTGTTGCTGGTCAATTTTCAGTTTCACAGTTTTTGACTGAAGTACATTCTTCAACATTTATTAGATTTTGGTTGATGAAATGCAGCATCCCAAAGAAATCGTAACAGAGCTTCACGAGCTTAATTGCAGTTATAAAAGGATTTACAAGTTATCCACTATCAAGCGATAAGCGGATGCTTGTCAAAATACAATCCCAGATTGTTGTACATATTGATATCGCCCATTTTATGAAAACATATGTTAATGCTTTAAAATCTGCTTCAAAATCAATTCATGCATTTTATCTAACAGTTATGAGACAAGTTATATTGTGTCGTCGAATAGAAGATACGAAAAAAATTTTAAAAGAAAAATTTTAAATATTGTGTCGTCGAGTAGAAGATGCGAGAAAAATTTTTAAATTTAAAAAATTTTTATTTATCGCAGTGAATTTAAAGGCAATTTACAAGGTACATACATAAAATCTGATTGCGAAATTCAGAAACAATTTTTGGAAAA